GAAATCTGATGCTCTGCGCTGGGCGGGAGACTGAAGGGGTGTTTTGTCCACCATCATCCTCAGAATCCCTTGCTTCTGAAAGGATACGTAGCCACCTCCTCGCCTTCCGAGATAAGGCGCCTCCTGGCTGTCACAACATGCAGGTGTCCTTCGTGTGCTCGGAGCACAGCCTCAAGGCCCGGGGCTCTGAGGAGCGGCTGGGTCGGTCAGCGGCCAACAGCCCCAGCCTGGGCCCCCGCAGCCGCTTCCACACCATGGCCATGGTGGCCCGGAGCCTGGGACAGCTCTCCGTGCAGAGTGTCCCCAGCACCAGCGATACCAGTGTGAAGCAGGCTGGGATGAAATATAGGTACGGGCGCCAGCTGTGCGGGGCGGGGCCAGGAAGCAGGCAGGATCCCATGGGCTCCTGTGCTGGCTTAGCCCTTGGTGGCCTGGGAAGCATGAAGCAAGTTTCTCCATGGCCGGCGGGGAGGCCATGCGAGTCACCCCTCTTCCCTCCTCCTGCCTTTGTTTCCTTTGGGTGGGCCTTGTTTATAGTAGCCAAGCCCCCCATTAAACTGCACTGCCTGCTCTTCCCAGGGACCCCAGGCGCTGGCAGAGGCCCCAGAAGACGCCCTTTGGGTAGTCTCGGTTCCTTGCAGAGGCCATAGTGATACTAGCATGAGCACCTTGGTGGGGACAGTCAGGGGAACCACGCAGTGGCAGACCTGGGTTCCTCTAGCAAGTGTTCTCACCCAGGCAGCACCCCAGTTTTCCCATGATGGTCCCCAGGCTGCCTTGTTTCTGTCCCCGTTCCTCATCCTGTGACTTGTATGCAGGGCAGATGTGAACGTCTGGGGCAGGGCTACCTTCCCCACCACCTAGCTCGTTCAAGTGCTCCTGGGACAGAAGGATGGTCCTGGCCTGGCAGGAAGAGTCCCTCGTGCCCCAAGGAGGTGTTCCTAGGGTGCCTCTGCCACTTGCTGCACAGACTGAAAGGAAGTGGGGGCCCTAGACCCAGTGCAGTGTGGAAAGATGGTCCTGGTTGTATCAGAGAACAGTCTGAGTCTGCACCTGATGGTGCCAACTCCAGAAGCACTGAGGGTTCCCCCAAGAGTTGAGGTGGGCAGCTCATGCCTCTCCAGAACCTACCGGAAGGTGACCACATGGGAAGGGACCACATCCCGGACCCGACACCCCTCAGATGACCACTGGGCCAAGCTGGTATCCTGTGTCTGTTCACGTGTTGCTGCCTTCCCTGGGCCTGGGACAGCTGGTGCTCTGTAGTGAGTCCTCCGGCCGAAGGACGTTGTCCCTGTCCCTTCCGCTCCATGGGGCAGCCCAGAGTGGAATTCTCTGTGCCGGGAGCTCTGGGGTTTGTATCTTTTGTCAGTGGGGGTCAAAAACTGGGAGTACATTGGATATATGTATACTTTTTTAGTTCAGATACTCAGTACCTGCCATGTCTTTTGCGTCTGTCCGAGGACCATCCAAGGAATAATGCGAGACTCTGTGCATAAAAGGCCCTGTATACACAGGAAATGTGGCTAACGTGGTCCCCTCTAAGGCTTCTAAAGAGCGGGTCTCTGAGAGCTTGTGTGCATAAGGTGACCATGTGTATGTGTGTGTGCAAGCATCTGTGTCCCTGTACACAGGGGACCATGCATGCACATACACGCGGGAGGCAGGGAGGGCCAGAGACGGCAGTGAAGTGTTTGTGGTCTGGGGAACTGGGTTCAAACCCAGCCCAGCACTGCCTGGCTGCCAGACTCAGTCTTCTCCAGTGAGATACAGATGAGGCTTCCACGCAGCAGGGCCTGGCTAGCTCATCTTGGGGGTGTTGTGGACGTGGATGGCTTCATGCCTGGGGTGAGGCTATGTAGTCTATGAGCGGCCAAGTGGGAGTAAGAACCCGAGTCTTGCCCCATTGCCCTCTCTCTTCCGGCCCCAGCGTGCCCACCTCATCCTGCCCCAACACCACAGCTGGGGTGCGGGGGGCTGCAGGGGACCACAGGTGGCTAGCACCTGGTCCCACACTTGCCACAGGGCCCAAGAGTGCCCAGAGCAGGGACGGGAAGACCAAGGCCCAGGATCAGGAGAAGAACTGAGGGCCTGGGCTCCTCTTCCCCAAACTGTTCCAGCATCGTCCCACAGCAGAGGCTGAGCCTGTCCTCAGGAGCCTGGTGTCCACTGCAGGGCAGACCTGCGAATGGCTTACGTGGATCTCACGTTGCATGTCTTTTGCTGCACCCTGGAAAACACTTGTCCGTCTCCACCAGCTCATGGGACTGATGTGGGCAGCCCGAGCTCTGCTGCTTCGCGCAGGGTTTGGGGTACAGGGCGTCGTGTGGCTTCGCAGTGGGCACCAGTGCTTTCCCGCGGCACAGGTTCTGGCTCTGAGTCCTTGTTAGCCGTTTCCCCGGTCCTGGGAGAGACGCGGGCAAATCCCTGCAGACCAGGTGTATTCAGGCTTAGAGATTTTGACGCCGACTTTATCGTCATGTCGACTTTGATTAGTGGAAAGAAATATGTAGGAAACAATTCTCATGTCAAGAGTTTCGCGTGGCCACACAGCAGCAGCCCCTGCCCAGGACAGCCTGTCGCCATGGTATCCTAGCCCCGAGGAGCAGCCACACGGATAAAGCACCCAGCCCAGGGCTGCCCTGTCCCTTCTCATCCCTTCTCCTGGGGCTGGCTGTGGCTGGCGAAGCTAGTACTATCATCATTCTACAAGGAAGCAGCGGAGATGGGTGACTGGTACGGCGCAGTACCCTGGTTTTGTGAGATGATTCCTGTGGGCCGTGGGGGACAGGGCATCAAAGAACCAAGCCCCCAGGGTCCCTACCCAGGCACACAGCCTCAGCCATCTCGGGAAGCAGCTAGGAACTGATCAGATTTGGGGAACAGCAGCCAGAGACCCCCAGATGTGGGGTGTCAGGTGTCCGCTCCTCAGCCCAAGGCACAAGTGGCCTCGGTCTCCTTTGTGCCTACTGCTAAACCCACCCCATCCTCCTGGACTGCAGTGAGTCCTGGTGTCTCAGGACCTGGGTTGGAGTCCCGGCCCCAGCACACTGCTGATAAAAGGGAACTTTTCAGGCTGAGAGGCTTACAGGCAGCTGTCAGCCCAGCCCGCTCAGGAGATTGCTCCCCACTGTCACCTGTGCAGGTGGCTTTAAAAGGTGAGTGCCTCTCAGCCTCAGAACAGGAAGTGACCATGGTGGGAATGGCAGGGCTGGCACCAGCGGGGCGCCCTTCGGATGCCTGGAGTGGACCCGACTGGGTGCCACGGGGCCCTGAGCTCTGTGGGTATTGATGCCTGTGCCCAGTTCCCAAGAGCTCCGCAAGCCCACAGCAGGGCATTGCTGAGCAGGACCTTCAGTACTTTCAGTCCTCACAGTACCTTCTGAGTGAGCCACCTGGGTCTGCCATGACAGCTACTGTGTGGCCAGTGTGGGGGAGGTGGCACACACTCGGGACTCGTCAGGGGCACAGCTGTGCCTGCTGCAGTGCCCCAGACACACGCTGCCCTGCGATACTCAGTGTTAAGGGTTCTTAGATGTCTTGGCCGATTTATAAGAGGAAAATCTCTCTCTCTCAATCTCTCTCTCTTGCAGTGCTGAGGGTTAAACCCAGGGCCTTCAGCCTGAGCTACATCCCCAGCCCTTTTTTATTTATTATTTTGAGACAGAGACTGAGTCACTGAAGTGGCCCAGGCTAACCCCAAACTTGCGATCCTTCTGCCTCAGCCTCCCAGAGAGCTGAGATTACAGGTATAATCTGATAAGCCACCATAACTGGTTTCATTTCCCTTTCAACATGCTCACATGAGAGTCTGACGTGTGTTGTTTTTGTAAAAAGAGAAGGCTGGTTTCAGTAGGAAATTCCATTTATTCATTTATTCTGCAGTACTGGAGCTTGAACCCAGGGCCCCATACATGCCAGGCAAGGGCTTCCCCACTGAGCTACACCTTCCAGCCCTTAATGGGAAAAATTTTGTTTGAGGCAGTGTCTCACTACATAGTAAAGATTGGCCTTAAAGTCACTATGTAGCCCAGGCTGGACTTGAACTCACGACAATCCTCCTGTCTCAGCCTCCTGGGTACTGGGTTACAGGTGTGTGCCACTATGCCTGGCCTCAATGGGAAATTTTTAAAGAAAGCTGGGCCACTTAGATTACCTTCAACTTAGTGATGCCTGCCCTATTCTCAAGCTGCTTCTAAGTATCCTACCTACTGCCACCACTGCTCATGACACGAGCGGAGACCAGGTTGTCATCACTGGGGATAAAGGCTGAGGAGGACCAGAGTGTGCCTGGGTCGGACGGGAGGGGTCACTCATTCCCTGGCCCACCTTCCCGCCTGGGGCCCAGGCTCGGATATCAGGGACAGCAGGAGGAATGCTGAGCCCAGGGGCTATCTGTCTCCCACACACAGGGTGGGCACCTGGCATTGGTGGGGCATGAGAGCCACCACCCAGGGAGCCCTGTGCCCGGCTCTGGTGAGGTCTTATGGCCGTGGGGACCAAGGGAGCCCACAGGCAGGGCACCTGCAGCATAGAGCTGTCAGAAGGGCCTGGTGGCGGGGCCTGAGGAGCACCCTGGCTCCTGCATGTGCCTTCTGCCCTGGGCACTAGACAGGCTGCCAGTCCTCAGCACATGGCTGCCATCTCCAAGGGACCCCATCAGACAGGGCCTCAGTGGGCTCAGGACAGGAGGAAGAGAGCTGGGGCGGCCCTGTGGGGTTCCGATGTTCTCCCTCAGCCGCCAGCCTCAGGGAGAGAGCGTGCCGGGGCCCGGGCTCACCATGTCCTCAGAGAGTGGTGACCACCAAGTCACAGGTATGACCCAAGAGGACAAAGAGAACCTCTCAGAGGAGAAGCCTCCCTCTGAAGGTGCCCTGTGCATCTCGGCCTTAGAGCAGGAAGTGACCACAGTGGGAATGGGCAGGGGTGGCACCACCGGGCAAGCCTGGCTGGTGGCTATGTGCCCAGGTACTAGGACTCAGGCTGTGTTTGTTTTCCAGGAACCTAGGCAAGTCTGGCCTGCGGGTCTCCTGCCTGGGGCTCGGTAAGTGTGGGGATCCTCATGTCAAGGAAGGGGGTGCAGCAGGGCTGGCCCCACCCCTGAACAACACCCAGAGCCTAGGACGCAGGGGGGCTCTGTTGCCATGGCATCGTGGAGACAGGCACTGGGAGGGAGGGGCCAGAGCAGAGACCAAGGGAGCGGCACCCAGGCCTGGGGTACACACAGCCCACCCCACCCTAGGAAGCTGGAGCAGCTCTCGGCCCAAGGGTGCCTGGGAGATTTTCCCAGGGCTTGGCCTCAGGAAGGAGTCCATCCAGTTTTGTCCTCTTTCCTCAGGCCAGATTTGAGCTGTTCTCAAAACCCGCTGTCCCCCTCCCACCTGGCACCCTCTCCCTTCCCCACCATGAGAGCAGTGACCATGCCTGTTGTCAGGGAGAGCACGTTATCCACTCCCTGCAGCAGGGTGGGACAGCATGACCCAGAAAGTGACAAGAGCTGCATCAGCACAAGTGCATTTCTTTTTTCTTCTTTCAGTACTGGGAATGGACCCCAGAACTTTATTTTTTTAATTTTCAGACAGGGCCTTGATAAATTGCTAAGTAGCCCAGACGAGACTCAAATTTGTTGCCATCCTCCTGCCTCAGCCTCCCAGAGTGCTGGGATCACAGGTGTGTACCACAGGCATTTCAAAGGCTGGTCCCCCATTTGGAGACTTGTGCAGGCCAGGAGTCCCAACATACGGAGAACACACTCACCTCAGGGCAGAGTCAGGGCCCTGGCAGGTTGCCTAACTCGAGCTCTTGTGTCTCCTTCCAGGAACATGGGTGACCTTCGGAGGCCAGATCACCGACGAGGTAAGACAGGGCTCCCTCCACCCAGTACCCAGCAGGCACACGGCCCAATCCCCTGCATGATCCTGTGAGCAGGCGTCTGTGGGAGCCACACAGCAGCCTCCCACTGAGGGACCTCAGGAGACAGAACCAGGAGCAGGGGCCAAGGAGAGGTCACACCTGTTAGCCCCAGGAGCTCGCCACCCCCGCATGGCTAACCGAGAACACAGGGATGCACCCTTGCTGCCCCGCAGACTGCAGACCTTCGGGAGATTGTCATTACCAAGCTCCTCACCATGCACTTCTGTGACTGGTGCTTAATCACATGCATCGAAATCAAATGTGTCTGCTGGGGTTTATCTGCACAATCAGGAGACAAGTGTCCCCAGAAGGAAAGGGGTGCACACCCAGATGGGGGAACTCCTGGACAGTGGGGAGATGCCCAGAATCCAGGACGCGCATTTGCTCCAAGAGCTCCAGGCGTCTGCTCCCTTTGTGGGTGTCACCCCTGCCCTACTTCCTGTCGCGAGAAATGCGTCTAAAAATTACTAAGAGCCTTGATTTGAGACTTCCATCTCCAAAGGGAAGGCTTTGCTCCCATCAAAATCTCAATGCAAACAGCTTGTGCTTCTGCTCACCGATAAGTTTGCAGCGGTGCCTGGCACGGGACTGCTGCCGGGTCGTCGCCAGCTGTGGGCTGTCCCGGGGCGAAGACAGAGCTCCCAGGGGGCAGAGATCACAGCCCCTGGCAGGGACTCTCGGGGAAGTCAGGCCTGCGGGACTGCTGGGGGGCGTTGCTAAACAGTAGGGGCCTCTGGAGACAGCCAGTCACACTGGGGGACTTTTCACCAGCAGCTCGGTGGCACCAGAGTACTGGTGATGCCAGTCCAGCCAGCCGTGTCTCCATCAGGTGACAGTGACACAGAGGAGGCATTGGAGGCCACCTGTAGGGGACTGGGCTGGGGGGACAGAGGATACAACAGATGAGAGTCAGGTTCTGAAAGCTGTGGCAGGTGACAGCAGTGGGTGAAGGGACAAGAAGAATTGTGTTGAACCCTGCATTTGACAACAGAAGCAAAATTGACACACAGAGCGCGGGGACCCTGGCTGCCATCCACCGAGGGGGGCCATGGTCTTGATTCCCTAGGCGGCGGCTGCTCAGTCAGGAGCAAAGACCATCTGGCCTGCAAGTTGATTTTGGTGAAAGTTGTCATTTGAGCCACTTGTAGTCTCAAGGGTACGGTGGTGGCACTAGCATGTTCACACTGCGTGCGGCCACCACTCTGTCCTCCTGGCTCAGGGACTGCAGCCTATTGTGGGTGAGAAGCACTGAGGCCTCCCCAGTAGTTCGCCACCAGCCCCAGCTAGACTGCAGTTGTGTTGTTTGTTTTTTACAATACTGGGCATTGAAACCAAGGGCTCTCCACCAGCCCTTTCTAGATTGCCTGGGCTGGCCTGGAATTTGAGATCCTCCTGCCTCAGCCTCCCAAGTAGCCGGGATGACAGGTGTGCACCACCGCGCCCAGGTTGGATTCTGCATTTCTGCTGTGGGTGCTGCTGGAACTAGTGAAACTACAGCATACAGGGTGCAGCAGAGTCTGGGAGGCTACTGCAGGAGCAGTGGAGAGGCGCTGGTGGCCTGGGCAGCGTGGGCACAGTGGGGGCAGTCAGATTTGGGCTCAGTTTGCAAGGGGAGCTGGCAGCCCTGGCAGAAGTAAGAGGAAGATCATCAGGAGGGCCCCAGGCAAGCACTCAGTGAGGCCGCCCTCCTCAGTGCATACCAGCCCCTGCCTGCAACACCCCACCTCCTCTCCCCTTGGCTGCCTGGAAAACTCCTAAACATCCATCAGAACCCAGCCCTGTGAATTCAGGCACAGGCTCCTGTACAGGTGACCCTTGAGGACACTGCGCCCAGCAGACTGAGCTGGTCACAAAGACTGGGGCTGGGCGATTCTGCTTCTGTGAGGGCTCCTAGTGGACAGATTCACAGAGGCAGAAAGCAGGAGTAGGCGGGAGAGGCGTGTGGAGGAGACAGGGCTCCCATTTGGCCTCATGAGAAAGTTCTGGAGAAGACAGTGTGATACGGCCCAGCAGTGTGGACTCACTCAATGCCTCTGACCTGTTCACCTAAAAAGATTTTAATAAAGATTCTAATTTTTAAAAGGAGATGAAAAATCAGGCCTCTAATCCCAGCACTCAGTGCTCTCCACCCGCCCATCCTCACCGGTGCTGCCTGGTGCCAGGCTTTGGCAGCAGTGCAGATTGGAGCTAATTCACCCACCCTGGCTCGCTGGAGGGAAGCCTGACTCTCCTAGTCCACACTGGGAAGTGGCCGGTGAGAGGGACAGGAGGGATGGCAGACTTTAGGGAACCTTCCCGTGCTGCATCTCGGGGTGTCCATTGCAGGTGGGGCCCCAGCTCCATTCCCGCCCCTGCTGCCCCCCTTTCTTTTGCACAAATGCGGGGTTATAGCAGCCCAGGGAGCATGAGGTGCTTGGCAGCACTGGGGGCCTTGTGTCCGTCCTGCCTCACTGAGGGCTGGGAGTGTGTGGCACTGGGGAGACACCCACCATGGCCTTGGGGCCACCTGGGAGCCGGGGGACTCTGTTCCTACCTCTGCAAGAGAGCAATGAGGTCCTGGAGAGGGTGCCACAGAGACAGCTGAAGACACAGCCAGAGCGTTAGGAAATGTCATTCACCCTGCGAGTTCTGTGGAGCTCCTAGTGGTGGCTACACGAATGACCTGGGCCCACTGTGGCGAAGTGCCACCACCTTAGTGGCTTGAAACACACAGATGTGTTATCCCATAGTTCTGGAGGCCAGAGGCCAAAATCCAGGTGTGTGCAGAACCCTGATTCCTTGAGAGGCTGAGGGTGAGTCTGCCCCTGGCCGTACCTGGCTTCTGGTGGCTGCTGGCTGTCCTACCGGCCTTGGCTTGTGGCCACATCCCTCCAATCTTAACGCCATCATCATACAGCCTCTTGGGATCCACCTTCTCTTCCTGGAAGGGTCTTAGCCACACCGGATATGGAGCCCGCCCTAAGCAGCATGGCCTTCCCCTAACTAATTGCTCTGAGAAGAACCCTGTTTCCACATAAGTTTGTGTTCTGAGGCTCAGAGCAGAGGTACATTTTGGAAGGACACTGTTCAACCCAGCACATGGGGTCCTTACTCTCAAGAAATTCAGTCTGTAGGCTGTTTCTTCATCCATTTGCCCTTCTTTGTTCCTCTTGAAGGTTTCATGACTTTGGGGGGTTTTGTTTTTGTTTTTTGTGGTACTTGGAATTGAACCCAGAGTATTTGCACTGAGCTATATCCCCAGCCCTTTTTAGGGTCTCACTAAGTCATTAAGTTGCATGGGCTGGCACTGAATTTGAAATCCTGCCTCAGCCTCGCAGAGTGCTGGAATTACAGGTGTGCACCTCCAAGGGCTTGTTATGGAGGGCTGCCCTCAGCCTGGCAGGCTCAGAGCGTCTGGTTTTCTCATTTCAGATGGCAGAGCAACTCATGACCTTGGCCTACGACAATGGCATCAACCTCTTCGATACCGCAGAAGTCTACGCAGCTGGCAAGTACGTGTCTTTCCTCGTGGGAAGAGGTGGCACTGGGAGGGACCCGAGCTCTGGGGCCCACTGCCCTCCTTCCCGAGTATGCCTTCCACGCTGGCTTCTTTTCTAAACGTGAAGTGGGCTGGGGAGGAACTTTGATGGGACCAGAACCACAGAACATTTGGACGCTGGTCCCCTGCTAAGCTCCCAGTATGCCCAGGCACTGAGGTGACCACGGTCCTCCCTGTGCCAAAGACATTGCCAGGACAGAGCCGTGATTAAGCTGTTGTCCACAGCCTCTCGATGGCTGGTGACCTGCAGTCAGCCCAGTGCACCTGACGTTTTCATGTCTTAATGATGCAATTAGGGCTGCAGGGAGCGCTGGCCGCTGGAGCTGAGAGGGAGGCACTGGGCGCCGCTGCCACAGGAAGCCCTCATCTTGGCAGTGAACTTTCCTACTCAATTATGTAAAAGCTCAGCCCTCTCCAGCCAGTTGGCTTTGATTTTAAAGACTGGATGTAATCAAATCATCCACTCTCCTGCACTGTGTTTCCAAAAGTCAGCTTTTGTTTGTGAAATCATTCTCTGGCCTGGGGCGGCCAAGTTCCTGGCATCTGGGCTGTGGCAGCCCTGGCCTTCTGTGCTCCATGGCCCCGGGTACCACCTGGCTCAGGGCTTGGTTGTTGCCTATGTTACTACTGCCTGTAATGGGGCCAGCACTGACCCAGGGCCTGGGCAGCTGACAGCTGGGACCCCCAGCTTCCTCCGGGGCCCATCCTAGCTCTTCTGTCCCTCCCGAGCCTCAGTCTCCTCCCAGCCTCTCCAGACTGCCAGCAACTTGCCATCCGAGTACAGCCCTCTCCAGACAGATGGACAGAGTCAAAGGGTCGGTGGTAGAGAGGCCCAGGGCACATGCCCAGCCCAAAGGCATACACACACACTCCCGAGCTGCTTTGCTGGCCCCTCTCCTGCCTAGCTCTTGCTGCCTACGAGGGCACACGGAGAGCAGCTCCGTGCAGCTCCCTCCGGCTTCAAATGGCCCAGCCCCATGCCTGGGCCCAGCACACTCCATTTCTCGACAGCCACAACCTGCTCTTTGTCCCTGTTTAACTGGACTCCCAGGCCTGGTGTGCCAGGGCAAGCGTGCTGAGTGCCCAGCAGCTTTGGGCCTCTCAGAGCTCCTTGCTGAAAGCCAAAGTCTCCAAAAGCAGCTTTTCCCTTGCTTTGCACTCCTCCACTGGCCACAAGCCTCATCCTTCATTCCTCCCAGAGTTGAACCCTCCATGCGAGGCCAAGCACCAAGTCCTGGGCCCAGGCTCGGAGGCGCTGCTCTGGGCAAAGGGCTAGGAACGCGTCCAGCAGGCAGTGGGCAGAGTGGCCCCTCCTGCTGACCAGGGTTCTTGCCATCACGGCCCTCATTTCTCTCTCTGACACTAATCTGGGTGCCTCCCAGAGGGCTGCAGTATTGCCTGCACCCCCAGACAGCTGCACATCTTGAAGCCAGGACTGCAAGTGACTGGGCTCGGTTCCCCATGGTCTGCAGCTCCAGTGGCCCCTCAGTCGTCTTCCTCCTCTCCTAATCCTTTGTCCAAAAAATCAGGAACCAAGGAATGTAAAGAAGAGTCCCAGGACTGAGGAATTTTCTGTGTGTCCTGACCGTAAATGAGGAGCATTCAGAGTGTATGCTAAACAGCTTGCAAATTAGAGCCCATTATTTCTGAGCGGATGACTCAGGCGCTGTTATAATTGGAATGTAGCACGAGGTATGGATCAGTCTCCATCTGTTGTTTTTGCTCAGAAGCGTTTTGCTACAAGGAAAGTTCTTAAAAGTTAATCCAGCTCTTCTGTGCCCGGAGGGGCCTGGAACAGCGGGCTCGTGACCCCGGCTAGCCTGAGTGTGGTGCAGGACTCATAATGATGCCAAGGAGAGCTGGCTGGTGGGCATGATATCTCTGTGTTCAAGAGCAATCCACATGCACGCCTACACACACACACACACACACACACACACACACACACGTGTGCACACATGCACATGCTCCCCTGGAAACCCCAGCCCTGGCTCAGGAACCAGGATATACCCCATGAATAATTTACCTTTGAAAAATATTCTTCTCTACAGATTTCACCCAAATAACACGGCCAAGTGTTTTCCTCCATGAATTTGCATGGGCCTGGGAAGCGGGACGCTGGCCTTGCCGTGTGGGACAGTCCCTTCCTTCCCCCAGGCCCGCAGCTCCCTCTGCAGTGCCAGCCTGGCTCTGCAGCCATGGTGGCTTCTTCACAGAGGGGCCACTGGTGGGTTGGCACGGCACGGCTGGCTTGGCTTTGCCTGTTCCGCAGTGGTGAGATCCCCGTCTTGCTTTGCAGGGCTGAAGTAGTCTTAGGAAACATCATTAAGAAGAAAGGATGGAGGTAATTACTCCTCTGCCATCTGTCGCCGGGCACACTCAGACTCACGGGGAAGGCCACGGTGGGGAGTTCAGGTTCCTGGCCCAGAAGGCTGGCTGCACAGGGCGAGCCTGGGCTTGGATCAGAGGCTTGGGGGGATGAACTTTGGGGGACCCTCCTTCCTGTTTCCCAGCGGTGTCCCGGGCTCACCACGTCAGCCCCTAGGCAGTCTTGCCAGGCTTCAGAGGCCCCGGGTTTTTCTTGCTACAGAGAAAGTCCCACACATAGCCCCTGCTCCTGGGGGGACTTCAGGTTCACACCACAGTGGCCGCCCTTGAGGCACCACTCTGTATTGACACACTTCTCAGGAAGGTATTCGGGGTCGGGGCGCTGAAGGGGAAATCTCAGGACAGAAAGAACTGCACATGAGCGCTCCCTGGAGGCCTGGTGCCCCGTGTGCACCACTGCAGAGGCTTGAGGTGCCAGGGCCAGAGCACTTGGGGTCAGAGGACCCAGAGAGAGGAGCAGAAGGAAGGCCTGGACCCACCCTCTGAGCCCCACCCAGAGGCCCTTGGCCCGTGTCCCAGAGCCCCAGAGCTCGCGGTCCCCGTGGGTAGTTGCCCCATCAGACATGTGGTTTGGAGTGTAAGTCACCTGCCTGGCCCACTGGATGTCCATGTCGCCTGCGGAGTAGTGGTGTGGCCTCCACCTGGCCCCTGTCTTGTCCCTCGGGGCTGGCACCAGGAGCGAATGGACCCCAGGGGTGGCAGGGCTGGAGCTGCAGTCCTCAGGCAGCATCCCCACCCTCCTGTCGGGCTGGCCGGTGCTTTGAGAAACGTCAGAAGCAGTTCGTGCTGCGTCTCCTCTCACCTGGCTCTCTCAAACTGAGCCCAGATAAATCCCTCCTGGGGGATTCAAGGCCACAGTGCACATTGGCAAACATGGGGACTGGGGCTTCGGTGGGTACACAGGGAGGAGAATGCTAGCCACCCTCTGTTTGGCTTTAAGAGCTTCCTGCCATAGAAGATTCTGGAGGGTCTGTCAACTGCCAGGGGTCACCTCACCTCCTCCCCGGGGAAGAGCCCCTGCTGCTTCTCTCTCTGCCCTGGCCAAAGCCCCATGGCCCTGTGTTCTCAGCAGCCCTGGTCACATTGTCCCCTGCTGACTGACCCCAGCCACCCAGCTACAGTTCGGGCTGGGAGATGCGCCGCACCAGGCCACGTCATGGAGGCCAAGACCCCAGGTCCCTCATGGCTAGGGTGGCGGGGCTAGAGGGTGCTGGGGTCCTGTAACTCTCCTGTCTTCCCACAGGCGCTCCAGCCTCGTCATCACCACCAAGATCTTCTGGGGTGGAAAGTAGGTGCAGCCACGCAATGCTGGGGTCCCAGGAGACGGGGTGGGGGTTCAATCCATGCAGGGCCCAATGTGGTCCCCTCCATGCCCAGTGACCATCCTGTTAAGAAAAATGGCTTCAGTCAAGTTGGCCTTACCTTCTTTGTTTCTTTCTTTCAGTACTGGGGATCGAACTTGGGTCCCTGTGCTTGCAGAGCAGGTGCCAGAACCACTGAGCTAAATCCCCTACCCAGCTAAATCCCCTACCCACCTTCTTTGTTATTTTTACATATGTGGTTTTCTCTCTCTCTCTCTTTTTTTTTTTTTTTTTTTTTTTTTTTT